AAAAATCTGAACTGAACTGAAATTTTCGGATTAATCTGAAATTACGGTTCGATTATATAAAAAATCTGCAATTTATATGCGAAACTCTAAGAAAATCGCAAAAAATCATGAATTTCTCTTCGAGGTTTGCGAAATTTGAAAAGAAATCGCAATTTTTTGTGACTCTTCAAGAGATTCCTGATAATTTTGCAAAATTCTAAGAGAAATCGCAAAAAATTGTGATTCTCCAAGGTTTTCGCGAAATTCAAAGAGAAACCACAAAAAATTGCAATTCTCTAAGAGTTTCGCTAAATTTTTGCGATCCTCTTAAAGAATTCGCAAATTTTGCGATCCTCTAAGAGTTTTGCATATAATCAAACAGAACTTTCAGATTAATTTGAAATTATCGATTCAGTTCAGATTTTTTCAGTTCATATTAGAATTATAATCTAAAAAAAATCTGAACTGAACTGAAAATTTTCAGATCAATTTTTATGCAATCTGATACCGATCTAAACTGAACTGATCTGAAAAATCTTTAGATTAATCTGAACCATTTGGAGCTTTAATTGTGATATATAAAATAGCATCTTGATACGTTATTTGTATAAAGTTGAAGGACTGTAGTGTTTAAACAAGATTTTGCTAGAGCCTCGATTTTATTATTAAGGATATTATCAGTGTGAGCTCTGACTTTAATCATGTTGACAGTGAGGTTGTGGGTGTCCATTATTTTGAAAAAACAAGACTAATACACATAATTATTAATTTTGAGAGCAAGACGAATAGTGGAAGCCTTTGTCAAGAGGAATTTGTAATGGTTGAATTGGGAGATGATGTTGGTTTAGTATTTGTAAACTTAATCGATAAACTTTTAATTCAATCCATCAAATTAAATACAAGATAATATTATAATCACACCTATATAAAGATACAACAAAAGGCAATAGTAAATGAATTTAACGATTCCTTTATTGAACTCTTGGTTTATCCTAAAACCTTAACTTGAGTTACTTTTCAACTCAAGGGAAAATACAAGATATTTATATAAAATAAAATAATATAAAATCAACTATAACAAATATAATAAAGAGAATAAATAATATAACTATAATAAATATAATATATATAATAAATAAGATATAATTAATAAATATAATGAATATAATTTATATATCTAATATATTCACTTGATCAACATTAATAACTTTAACAACTCTGTTAACTTCGTCAACTTTGTTAACTATATTGATCATTTAGATCATATAACTTTATTTTAGCACAGTCACAGATCACAGCTTCAATGATAACAGCTGAATTAGTAAAAAAGGTAACATTACAAAAGGGGGAGCTGTGAGTAAAGCAGTAAAAATAGCTGTGAATTCAGATAATGAAGAGGAAGGAAAAGAAGATGTGAAGGCAGAGGAAAAGAAAACCATTAATGACATTTGATGAGTTTGAAGCCAGGCTATACTCATTCTTATTGAAGAAAGACCTATATCTTGCAAGGATCCATCTGTATAAAATTTTAAAACAGAAGAGGACAGGAAAAAGTAAGATAGAGTTAATAATTGAGATTATAAGGAGGTGACAAATATCTATTAAATAAATTAGCAAAGGTTAGTAGAATAAAATTTCTTGGAGCTGTAAAAAGACTTTGATTATTTTTTCTAAAAAATAAGTTAAGGTAAGTTTATATAGTGCACCGTTGGACAGGACACTGTGAGTTCGATCAATACGATCATTTTTTGAAGAAATTAGAATTTTTGCACAAAGGAAGAGAGGTAATGTGAAGCAATAATTATCATAATGGCCTCTAAATTTAATAGTAGATTCCTGGTGAATTTGGCAACAAATACAAGGATTAAGGACTGTTATATAATCAAGTTCAATCGAAAGTATGTGATGTATTAGGTATACTGTGTCTTGATCGATTTTTATAATTCGTCTTAGAACAAAATAATTGAATTGAGGAAACTAGCCAACCGCAAATTCAGGGTGTGGTAAGGATAGATAGGTCGTATAATAGAGTAACCGTAACAGTATTTGTATTTGAAATTATTTGTGAATGATAATCTTCTATCATAATTAGGATTAAGGTGAAGTTCTAAGGTCTTATACCAGCTTGAAGTTTGAAAACTACAAGTAATTGGGTGTGTGATAGTATATAGATAATGAAAGATGAATATATAGTTTCCTTGATAGTTAGTAAGTTGCTCCATAAAAAGCAGCGAGAATTTTCATAAACTAGGAGTATACTTCCTGTAACCAATGAGTAGAAATTCAGAAATCAGGGAGTCTTCTCCTAAGATTCTATTTGATAAAGCTAGAGGTACACTAAGTTTGAGCTTCATTGAGTTAAGGTTACAAAGGAGAGAGGGGAGCCAATTATCAGTTCGTGTTGTTTTTAAAAAAGGCCAATAGACAAAAGGATTATCAAAGAGTCATTCCCTCTGTTGAAGCTGAAAGGTATGTAGATAAAAGGATCTTTCAAGTACGTTTGTTTTATTAGACATTTATAGAAGAGCATTACTAAAGTTCTGGATTAATCATTGATATATCAAAGTTAAATTATAAAAATAATGCGAATAGATAAGATCCATTGGAGCTTGTCTGGATAATTTTAATTTCCTTTTCACAAAGGCTAAGTAAGTAGTGATAAAGCTTTTACATTATGATTTAGATGACAAAGTAAGTTGAGACCTGTACTCAATTCTCAGAAGAAGAGCAGTGTTAAAAATGTAAATCAACTGTGAATCTGTAAAGCTTTTATGCTTTATAATAGTAACAGCCTTCTTGATTTCATTGTGTATCTAATTATAAATAAAATTTTTGTTGATTTGAGCGAGATCCAAACACCTAAGTATCTAATACTAGCTTTTAAAGATAGAGCATTGATAGATCACGTAATGTTATTATGACTAATTTCAAAAGGATGCTGTTGAGGAGTATTGACTAAGAGTTTTAATTTTAACCAGTTTACTTATATGTCATTTAAAGCGAAGAAACTATATGTAATGGATGTAATATTTATCAAATCCTCCTTGGATTTAGTGAGCTAAAGAGTATTATCCATGTAGGTGAGGGCTAGAATTTTTAAGCGAGAGGTATTAGACATAGGAAGATACGTATTAGGACGCCATTTGACTTTCGTAATAAAGCCATGTGAGAATTATTAATAGCATATAAAAGTAAATCATAGTAAATACATCACAAAAGTGGTAATATGATTTCGTTTTGATCAATTCTTGAATAAACTAAGTATGTATCAGAATTTCCATATGCAGTAAAAACTTGGTTGAATCTGAGGAGAAATAATCTCAAGATTGTATGTATAAATTTAGCAGAAAGGCATAATCTTATAAGAGCTGCAGCAAAAGTGAAGATATTCACACAGTCGTATACTTAAGACATATCTTGTAAGAGGATCCACAATTTAGTATTATTGTAAATGGCATTTTGCTTGATGTTGTCAAAGATATAAATGAGATCAAAAGTAGATTTAAAAGACAAACCCACAAAATTGTATTCTTTCAGAACATTATGTTATACAAAAATGTTAGAAAGTCTTGAATTAAGTAAACGAACAAACACTTTCCTAATGCTTTCTAACAAAGTGAATAGCTAAGTATTATTCAGGTCATATTCCCATAGTTTCAGTTTAGGGATTGGATATATGTATGCCAGATTCTAGTGATGAGGTATTGATAAAATTTGTAAACAGCCACAAATGATGTGCCATAAATATTTCTTCTCCAGTAATCCTAGATGTTTAAGCATTTCATTCAAAATTTTAGATAGTTCTGAGGCTTTGTTATTTGGAAGGCGATCAATGATCCTATATCATTTGTTCACAGAAGGTAAGAACATTAATTTATTGTAAATATGTGAATCGATTGAGTCTATTGGAGCATAAGTAGAAGTCTATTCCTCTAGAATATTTTTAGTACAATACGTAGTTCTAGCAACCTGTTGAAAATGTCTGGCAACTTTCTTGACATCAGATTCCTCAAAAAGTAAATTACAAGATGGAGATGAATTATCAACGCATTTATCTAATATAATAGTTATTTTTCTTTAAGTTTGTAGCAGTATACTTAGATAATATTATAACCTACTCAAAAATATATGAAGAACATCTACAGCATCTGCAAATAGTATTTGAAGTAATCAGAAAGGCAAATTTAATGATTAAATTGAAAAAGTATCAATTTTGCCTTCCAAATATTCCATTCCTTAGACACATAGTAAGAAGAAGTGGTTTGCAATCAGATCCTGAAAAAAATTTGAAAAATCAAAGAACTTCTAATATCTAAAGGAGAATTGTTCTCATATTATCAAAAGTTTGTGAAAGGATTCTCTCAAATTGCTAAACTAATAATAATCTTACTAAAGAAGGATGCCCCTTACATTTGGATAAATGACCAACAAAAATCTTTTGATGAATTAAAGGAGAAACTGATTACATCACCAATCCTTCAATACCCTAATTTCTTTAAAAAATTCATACTCTATACCGATGCCTTAGGAGTAGAACTTGGAGCAGTATTATCTCAACTTTGATGAAAATAAAAATGAACATGTTATTGCATATGCGAGCAAAAGCATAAACAAAGCTGAACAGAACTATCCAATTACAGATCAAGAATGTTTAGCAATAGTTTAGGCTATTAGGAATTTTCATTATTATCTTAGCTTTAAACCTTTCACCATCGTAATTGATCACTCTGCTCTTAAATGGTTAAGTATTTCGAAATACCTAAAGGACGATATGCATAATAGATAATGGAATTACAACAATATAACTTTAATATTCAACACAGACCTGAAAAAAATAATGCTAATACCAATACATTATCTTGATTAATTCCTGAAAAAGAATAAGATAATTCCTCAAAAAAAGTTTTTATGCTTACAATAAATGAAATGATGATGAAGAAATAGAATAGCATATTTCTTCTAAAAATAGTGAAACTTCATCAGAATGATCACAAGAAGAAATAGACTTAGAGAAAGAATTGATGTCACAATACTCTCATGTACCTTTAATTACTGTAGGATATCAATGTCTTAAGAATGAATTGGAAGATATTTTTAAAGAAAATATCAAGATTAAGCAAGTTATAGCTAATCAACCAATAACTAAAGGAGGATCACAATGTAACTATAGTTGTGACATTGAAAATCATCATATCCACATATATTGTAACGTCTGTAAGAGAAATCTATCATATAGAATGATTGAACATTATTGTATTATTGGATTTGGTCTAGGACAAATTCAACTGGATATGAATCCCAACTATTTGATTAATAACCTTTAGTAAGATGAACCAATCTTAATTTAATAAGAAAACCTTTACTTCCAGCTTTATTATATGCTTGAAAACCCTCAGCATCTTCTTGTTTTCCATATTTGAATATTTTGATTTATATCTATATTTATTTAAAAATATTAGTAATAATTATCTAGAATAAAAGCAAAAGTATTTATATTGTGATAGGCAGCTCAAATATTATGAAACTCAATCAATATAATAATTTATTTGTTTATATAATCTTAAATCAATTACCTACATCTTTTAACTCAAACGAAATTGTAAAATTAAAAGATAATTGAAATTTTATATAGTTTGACTTGATTTCTTATATAAAAAGCAAAGACAAAGAAATACTTCTGAACAGTTTCTAAGGGTTATTAAAGAAACTGAATTAGATGCAATCCTTTATATGATGCATAATGATCCAATAGCTAGACATTTTTCTACTGACATCATGTTTATAAAGTTCGTATTAGATATTATTGACCTTGAATGTATGAAAGTATCAGAAAATATGTTCAATCATATGATGCTTGCCAATGATGAAGAAGGTCTAAAACAAAGAATGAATTACATTCTATTCCAGTTAATTTATCATTTTATAGAATTGAAATAGATTTTGTTAGACCTTTATCACAAACTAGTAGAGGAAATAATATATCATTGTTACTATGGATTATTTAATAAAATGGCCAGAAACTAAAGTATTTAAGGATAATACTGCTAAAAGTGTCATTAAGTTCTTATATAAGGATATTATTTGCTAACATGAATGCTCAACTAAGATCTTATCAGATAGGAGATCTCATTTTAATAATCAATTAGTTATAGAATTGATAGAACAATTTCACATTCATCATAATCTATCGATTTTTTATCATTCTAGGACGAATGGATTGGTAGAAAGATTAATAGAACTCTATGTGAATCATTAGCAAAATTGGCTGAAAGATCTACTCAATAGGACCAATATATTTTCCTATTCTATTTGCTTATCGCACAAGCAAACAATCAGCCACAATAATTGAACTCTTTTATTTAATTTATGGAACAAAATGCAATGTTACCTATTGACAATCCTGATGATCCTAATGATCTTTGTACTAACCAGAATTTTACTATCTAAGAAAGAATTGATCATTTGATTAATAAATTACCCTAGTATGACTAGATGTAAAGGTATAAATATAACCTGCACAACAGTAATAAAAGAAGTATCATGACAAAAACACAAGGATCTCTGTTCCACATAAAATTGGAGATAAGGTTTTGTACTTTAAAGCTGCAAAAGATAAAACCCATTCTAGAAAATTGGATCAAAAATAGAAAGGACCTTATTATATCCATAAAATCTTACTAAATGGCTCTTATAAGATAAAAGAATTAGATGGTCATATACTTCATAATCCAATAAATAGAGATCTTTTAAAAATATATAAAAACCCTCCTTTTCAGATTTAGATTTTTCTTTATATTTTATTTTTATTTTATTTTTATCATTATTTTTATTATTATGGAATAACTTTATATTAAAGATTTGAATGAAACTCTACCTGAAAAATAACTCCTGCTATCTCTCCTTATTCAAATGGAATGGAACTACAAAAGAAATTTTAACTAACATATCAAATATTATTAAAAACTTCACGAATGAAAGACCGAACTCTTACCTTGATAAATACTTATTACTTGGGAAAACTTCTAAAAACAGAAACTTTTTCACTAGTATAACGAAGTCAATTGAGGGGACTTATCACTAAATATTATAGTTCTGTCTCAATACATGTTTATTACCTCTATGAAATACTAGGTGTAAATCAAATTCAACAAGTGAAATATATATCGTTGAAGAATCTCTATCAATTTTCAAGCTATGTATACTAATCTCTAGTAAATAAAGCTATGGATATTTAGGCAGGAGCTCAAAATATAAAAGGGGAGGATTGAAGCCATAATCTGTGACTGTGTTAAAATAAAGTCATGTAATCTAAATAATTGACAAGTTAACAAAGTTAACAGAGTTGCTAAAGTTGTCAACGTTAATCAAGTAGACATATTAGATATATGGATTATATTTATTGTATTTATTAATTATATCTTATTTATTATATATATTATATTTATCATAGTTATATTATTTGTTCTCTTTATTATATTTGTTATAGTTGATTTTATATTATTTTATTTTATATAAATATCTTGTATTTTCCCTTGAGTTGAAAAGTAACTCAAGTTGAGGTTTTAGGATAAACCAAGAGTTCAATAAAGGAATCGTTAAATTCATTTACTATTACCTTTTATCATGTCTTCATATAAGCGTAATTATGATATTGTCTTGTATTTAATTTGACGAATTGAATTAAAAGTTTATCATTTAAGTTTACAGATACTAAGCCAACAGCATAAGCCTAAAAAAACTAAATACCAATACAGATGCTCTTTTTCAAATTAATAATGATCAAAAATATGAAAATAATATAAAGAAAATCTTCATGGCCATTACTATCTAAATCAAAGAAGTAGAAGATGAATAGCATATTTCTTCTAAGCATAACTCTGTTAATAATCATGAAGAAGTATATTTTGAAAAGCAAATAATTCAACAATTTTCCAGCATATCTTTAATTACAGCAGTAGGATATGAAAGTCTAAAGGATGAAATAGAAGATATATACTTTGAAAATATCAAAATTAGATTAGTTATAGCTAATCAACCTATCACCAAAGGAGGATCTCAATATACCTTTACCTGTAATATTGAGAATCATTATATTCACACTTATCGTTAAGTGTGTAAAAAGAACTTGCCTTATGGTACAATTGTTCATAATTGTATTGTAAGATATAAAAGAGAAACAATTCATTCTAACATGAAAATAATCCATTTAATTAATGATGTATGATGAAAAAAACCAGTTCTAGTTTGACAAGAAAATGCATATTCTCAACTTTATAAAATGTTAGATATTTATTTCCCTATCTTCTTATTAAATCCTTCACCTATCTTAACATTATTTAAAATATATTTATTTGAATGAAAGCTAAAGCATTTGTAGCATGATAAATAGTTCAAAATAGACATAATACAATATAATCATTTTTTTAACTATTTACAAAATCAAACTTTGTCCAACAATTTAATATTAACTCAGCAACAAAAATTAATTAAACAATTTAGATATTTTGAAAACAAAATAATTATTTATATAAATATATTTGTCAAAAGCTTCTTAGAGTTATTAGATCATATGAAATAGAAGCTATACTTTATATAATACATAATGATCTAACTGCTGGATATTTTGCAGTAAATATAATGTTTGATAAAATCAAAGAATGATATTACTGGCCACAACTATATAAAAATATTAGAAAATATGTTTGTTTTTGTAACAGTTGTTAAAGAAGAGGAAAACTAAAGAAGCATGAGAAATTATACTCTATATCAGTTCAAATACCTTTTTATCAAATTAGTATAGATTTTGTTGAACTGCTACCTATAATATCAAATAATAACAAATATATCATTATAGCTGTTAATTACTTTACCAAATAGCCTGAAACTAAAGCTATTCTTAATGCTACTACAGAACAGGTTGCTCTATTTATTTACGAGAATATAATTTATCATCATTGATATTTTATAAAGATTCTTTCTGATAGGGAAACTCATTTTAATAACCAAATAATCAAAGAATTAATAGATAAATTTAAGATTAAACATTTATTATTAATACTTTATCACTCTCAAATAAATGGTTTAGTGAAGCATTTTAACCATACTTTATGTGAATCTTTAGTAAAAACTACATAAAATCTAAATAATTTGAATTTGCAAATTATATCAACCTTGTTTGCATATCATATAAGCAAACACTCTGTTACAAAAATATCTTCTTTCTATTTGGTACATGAGAAAAATGCAACATTACCCCTAAATGATCTTGATGATCCAAATTTTACATTATTAAAACATTTGCAAAATTTGGTTGATCAATTATTACAAACAAAAAAAATTGCTAGAAATCATATTACAATTACTCAATATAATTAAAAAAACTATCATGATAGATAAATTGATTATCTTTATCAATTTAAAATTAAAGATAAAGTTCTTTATTATGATGCGGCTAAGAATAAACAATGGTCTGGCAAACTAAATCCAAAATGGAAATAACTATACTATATCCATCAAGTTTTAATGGAAGGATCTTATAAAATAAGAGAGATAGATGAAAGAGTGTTACATACACAGGTTAATAAAATCCTATTAAAATCTTATCACAATCGCTAAAACTGAGAGCTCCAAATTGTTATATAAAGGGTCGATTTCCTTTGAAAATTTCTTAAAATTTTTTAACATAATTACCTTATTCTAAAAATTTAAGGATATTCTAACTGCTGTTAATATTTTAGTAAATACTAATATACCTCTATCTTATATGAAAACTAACTCAACTGCGTAAATATTTAGAATAACTTACAGAATTTTATTATAAGCTACTAGGCTAAAGAATAGAATGTTAGCTTTAGCTAACGCATTTTATTTTAAACAAGTAATAGAGACAGAAACCTTAAATCCAGCTGAACTAAAGCTCTGAATGGTTCAGATTAATCTGAAGATTTTTCAGATTAGATCAGTTCAGATCAGTTTCAGTTTACATAAAAATTAATCTAAAAATTTTCAGTTCAGTTCGATTTTTTTTAGATTATAATTTTAATTTGAATCAAAAAAATCTGAACTGAACTGATAATTTTAGATTAATCTGAAAGTTCAGTATGATTATATGCAAAACTCTTGAAGGATCGCAAAATTTGTGAATTCTTTAAGAGAATCATAAAAAAATTGTGAAAATTTTGAAGAATCGCAATTTTTTGCGATTTCTCTTAGAATTTCATAAAAATTTTGTAAAACTCTTGGAGAGTCACAAAAAATTGTGATTTCTCTTCAAATTTCACAAAAAAATCATGAAACTCTTAGAGAATCGCAATTTTTGCGATTTTTTTTAGT